GGGGGAGCCGGTGCCCGCGGGCGGCACAGCTCAGCTGCCCAGCAGGCCAGCGGCCAGGCGGCACCTGACGGTGGCGCTCTGCTCCGCGGCTGCCTCCCCCGTGTGGTCCCTGTGGGTCTGAAACTCGCGTCCCTGGGCGGGGAGGAGCCGCCGAGTCAGCCGCTCGTCGCGTTCACGCGGCCGTGTTTCAGGGCATGAACTACCTGGAGGAGCGGCGGCTGGTGCACCGGGACCTGGCGGCCAGGAACGTCCTGGTGAAGACGCCGCAGCACATCAAGATCACGGACTTCGGGCTGGCCAAGCTGCTGGGCGCCGAGGAGAAGGAGTACCACGCGGAGGGGGGCAAGGTGAGGGGCGGCCACCGGCTCGCCTTCTGGGGGACGCTCTCGGGACGTCCTGAGTGACATCGCGGCCGCGGCCGCCTCCGCCTGGCTCTCGCTGGGTCTTCTGCCCTGCAAGCTGGGCGGCTGGGGGGCAGGATTTGTTGGGGGGGAGAGTAAGGATGTTCCCGGCACATCCAGAGAGTGAAAGGCGGTAACCGTGCGTTCGGCTCCTCTCCGCGTCACCAGGGTTGGGTTCCCGCCACCCGGCGGGAGAAAGCGGCCCTCAGAAAGGCAGCTGGGAGATGTCGGGGCTGGCTTGGTGGCACGCGGCTGGGACAGCCTGTCAGAAATNTGCCACCCGGCAGGAGAAAGCGGCCCTCAGAAAGGCAGCTGGGAGATGTCGGGGCTGGCTTGGTGGCACGCGGCTGGGACAGCCTGTCAGAAATAAGGGAGGCCCCCAGAGCTGTCCCCAGAGCTCCCAGGGTCGCAGTGACGCACTCTGGGCACTGCTCTGTCCGCTCTGANTCAGTGACGCACTCTGGGCACCTGTAGGGGTGGAGTCTGCTCTGTCCGCTCTGACAGGTTTGGGGGCTCTCTAGGGGACCCTCCCCCAGCAGGGAGGCCTTCCAGAAAGCCCTGGATCAGCCGTACCCCTCGCAGGTTTCACTCCGGCCTACATGGCCCCAGCAAACACCCACAAACACGGGGTGGGTNCCTCGTAAGTTTCACTCCGGCCTACATGGCCCCAGCAAACACCCACAAACACGGGGTGGGTAGGACCACAGGGCACAACCAGGGCCCCCAGCTGCCGACGCGTGCGCCCCACTCACCGGGACACCCACACGCCAAAGGCTGGGCTGCAGCTCCGGGGCCCAATAGAACAGCCCTGTTCTCGGCCGATATGAACCCCGCTCCTCCTGGGAGAGCACGTGGCCTGGGGCATGGGGGGCCTGGCTTCCCCACGTTTGTCACCATTTGTCCCAGCGAGACTGAGTGTTTTCAGCAGAGGGAAGCTGATAGCTGTCTCATTGCTGTCTCTCTTTTCATCCCAAGGTGCCCATCAAGTGGATGGCCTTGGAATCTATTTTACACCGAATCTACACCCACCAAAGTGACGTCTGGAGCTACGGTGAGTCGGAGCCCCGATGCCGATGGGCGACGCCGGCCCGGGGCCGAGCGGGGTCGTGCTGTTCGCTCAGTTACGTTGTATCTCTGCCGTCCAAGCGTTTTCTCCAAGACAGTGACTAACAGCAATAGAACAGCTGCTGACTGTCAGTTATGCTGAGAAAACATGACACAGGAAATGGACTCTGACGACCGTGCTAAACACCACTGGCTGTCAGTGAGCTTGTGGAGAGGGGGTGACGGGGGAGAGCGGACTGGAACCTAGGAATTGCCCGTCCCGGCGAAATCAAACCCAACCCCACCTCTCGTGCGGATGTGAAGTGAACAAAGGAGCAGGGGGCGATTTCGTTTCTAATTTGTCTTTTATTAGATCCCCCAGGTTATAACTTTGTCTGTAATCTCTGCGTTTCCTCTTGCAAGGGACTCAGGGCAGCCGTCAGGGTGTGGCCCTCCTGCCCCACAGCGTAATGAGATTTACATCGTTCGCTGGGTCCTGGCGTCTTGGTGGTTGTTACGAAAGTTCACCATTTATTGGCGTCTNCCTGGGTCCTGGCGTCTTGGTGGTTACGAAAGTTCACCATTTATTGGCGTCTCGCTATTTGCCTGACATTGTCTGAGCATTTCAGTTGTATTATCTTATTTGACCTNGCTGGGTCCTGGCGTCTTGGTGGTTGTTACGAAAGTTCACCATTTATTGGCGTCTCGCTATTTGCCTGACATTGTCTGAGCATTTCAGTTGTATTATCTTATTTGACCTTCATAACATCCTAGGAGACAGAGACGGTCATCATCCCACTTTACAGAGAGGCAAACTGAGGCTTCCCGCACTCGAGCCCATTGCCCAAGACCACAGACACATCGGTGTTTTCTGTTGTTTTGTTGTTGTTGTTTTCTCTCTGTGTGTGGGTTTATTTTATATTATAGTAATAGTTTACATACAGCTTTTTTTTTCATTCTTTGAAATCAAGACCAAGAGTTCTTTTCTCAAAATCCCCAAGTTCAAACTGGTGTTTGAACTTTATATATAAAAGTACTGCAATATGGTTTATATAAAAAGTTCTGCAATATGCCTCGATGTAGGGTAATTTTAATTCTCTTGCATAATGAGATGGGAACTGGAATTGCCGTTTTACAACAACAGACACGTGGGTTGTTAAACGTTAGAAACAGTATCAACGGTGATGACTAAGGACAAGGTGTGTGGTCACTGACTCATGAAGTGACAACTTCGTCCTTCCAGGAGTCACCGTGTGGGAGCTGATGACCTTTGGGTCCAAGCCCTACGACGGGATCCCGGCGAGCGAGATCTCGACCATCCTGGAGAAGGGAGAGCGCCTCCCGCAGCCACCCATCTGCACCATCGACGTCTACATGATCATGGTCAAGTGTGAGTGACCCCGTGGCCACCCTCCTGTCGCGGGGCCCTAGCGAGATGCGCGCTGTGCCCGGCTGTGCCTAGGAAGTCAGACAGCTGGCACCTCAGATCCCCAAAGAAACCACACAAGGCTCAAAAAAACAGTATTTCTGGCTTGTTTTCAACCTTTCGCATCGTGGACGTACATGAGGCCTGACTGCAGCGTAGCCAGTAAACGTTTCAGCCCTGGTAGGAGTGCGTGTGGCCCGGTTGACACTGTCACAGTAGCAGAATCCCGAGTTCAGGGGGCACCGGAGGTGACATTCCGTGTGTGCTGAGCGTGTACACAAGGAGGAAACGCGGGGACCGGGGAGCAGAGTCAACGTAAATATTAATGCCTCCCTGAACTCTGCACCCGGGGGTCATCTATTTTTAACTCCCTTGTTTAGGGGCTGGGGAAGCTGGGAGTCTGAGGTCACCCAGCCGTCTGGCTAAAAATAGCCCGACATCCTGCTGGTAGGAAATAAATGTGAGCCCCCAGAGGCACGAGGCTTCCGGCTCCTGGCTGCCCCTCGGGGTGGCGACCGGGGCTAGGTCCTTGCACAGCCCAGGCACCGCCTGGTTAGCAGGGAGTCCTCCGTAGGAGGTGCTGAAGCGCACGCACGCGGACACGCACACACCCCACTGGCCCGTGAGATCACCGGGGTGGGGACTTCCCAAACCCCCAGGTTCTTAAAGAAAGTCCCTAAGTTTCCCTAAAGGGAGCCTGGTTTCGAGCTGGCACGACTGCTGAGTGGATGTAGACGAGGGTGACTAGAGTGGGGCCTCGGGGAGCCTGGACCAGGCACCGGCGGTCAGAGCAGACCCCCGGGATCCCCGGTCACACTGTGGTGCTAGCCCTCGGAGGTCACGCCAAGGTGCCAGCCCTGGGCGGAGCAGGCGCAGCACATTGGGGTGTTGGCCTCACTCTGACTCATACGTGTCCCGTTACCAGGATATTTAAACACAGCAGCCCTGGGTTGCCAAGACTGGAAGGCCCATCGCGAAGATGGCGTCCTCAGCGTTTATCTGTAGGAAAGGGTCTCACCGTAAGCGCCTTCTTTAAGCAGTGCCATCCTGAGCGTTGCTGTCAGGGTTCTCACGGCACCTTTTTTTTTTTTTCTTCATTTCGTCTCCAGGCTGGATGATAGATGCAGACAGTCGCCCCAAATTCCGCGAGCTGATCAACGAATTCTCCAAGATGGCCCGAGACCCCCAGCGTTACCTTGTCATCCAGGTACCGGACCTCAGTGTGCACCTGGCTGGGGACAGTCCCCTGTAACGAGCACCCAGGGTCCATGGGCTCCATCCTGGCCCAGCACCGTCTCCCAGGCAGTGTCACCAGGTCCTCGGTGCATTGGAGCAAATCTGGGTCAAGGCACAGGCCCAGTTGCAAACACCGTGCAGGTTATCGGTGGTGCCCTCCAGCTCCGCTTGCCACCCCTCTCTGAACCCTGGTGCCCAGGCCGACTCTCNAGCCCAGTTGCAAATGCCGTGCAGGTCATCGGTGGTACCCTCCAGCTCCGCTTGCCACCCCTCTCTGAACCCTGGTGCCCAGGCCGACTCTCACATCCTGTGTCATCTTCCTGTGCCACCTCGTCAGAGTTTCCGCTCATTTGGACGGAGAAGCAGGGCTCTGGTGTTGGGCAAGACTGGCTTCCAATCCCTGGCTCTCCAATGGCCACGTTAGGTTACAAAACCAAGCTCACAGGGCTGTGTTAAAGATTCAGGGAAGTAACATGGAATCCATTGCACGGCGCCTAAGGGTCCTGCTCGGCAGGTCAGCGTGTGTGCTCAGCACAGCACCCAGGGGTCCTGCTCAGCAGGTCAGCGTGTGTGCTCAGCACAGCACCCAGGGGTCCTCAGCAGGTCAGCGTGTGTGCTCGCACAGGGGGCCGGGGCGGCGGGCTTCCCCGCTCCGCCAGGCAAGCCTCTCTCCAACACCTCTGGGTGTCCACGAGTCAGCCCAGTCCCCACACCATCCACCTGGCGACAGCGTCCATCCCACAGGTCGAGGGCTCAGACCTCCAAGACNCCCGTTCAGATGCCCAGTGCAGGTGTCGGTTGTCCCCTGTGCTCTGACCCCACCGGCTATAAATCGGAGGTTCCTAAGACCTCCTTCTAGGGCTCCATTACTTTGCTCGAGTGCCTCACGGAACTTGGGAAAGCCCTCTGCTCGCCAGACCCCTGGCTTACTGTAAAAGGGTGTAAATAACTCGGGAACAGCCAGGAGAAAGAGGTGCAGAGGGCAAGAGAGGGGGAGGGGAGGCGCGTCTTCCCTGGGCGAGCCACGCTGCGCAAATCCCCGCGCTCGCTGCGCAAATCTCCACGCTCGCTGCAACCTGGAAGCTCTCGGAGCCCCGTCTCTGTGGGGTTTATGGCGACCTTGTTCCATAGGCAGGTGGGTTAAACCATTGGCCTTTGGTGACTGATTTCATCTCCAGCCCCCGTCCCCTCCCTAGAGACCTGGGGTGGGACTGACCGGTCCAGCCCTCTAACCACAGGGTCGCTTCTCCTGGAAACCTGGAGTCGCCCCATTAACATAGCAAAACACCCGTGTGGCTCTTACACTTAGGACATCCCAGGGGTTTTAGGAGCCCTGCTCCAGGACGAGCAAATGAGAAAACGTGGGATATTATTACAAACCACAATATCACAGCAACTAAGAGCACAGTCCACTGCCCAAGGTTGCTGCTCGGGACCTTGCCCTTTCCTCCGAGCCGTTCGCATTTCATCCGGGGGCTTTTAAACATCGAGGCATTTTTAATGTTTTAATTGCCAGTCAGGGGAGGGGAAGAAGCAGCCGTACATAAGAGAACCGGGGCGATTTCACTGTAACTAAACTGGCAAACACACAGGCGCCTGCCGGCAGGAGGCTGCTGGCCAAGGTAGCCAAGCCCCTCGGGGCCCCTAACGGTCTCCCACCCTCACCCAGGGCGACGAGAGGATGCACCTGCCCAGCCCCACGGACTCCAGTTTCTACCGCACGCTGATGGAAGAGGAGGACATGGAGGACCTGGTGGACGCCGACGAATACCTGGTCCCCCAGCAGGGCTTCTTCCACAGCCCCTCCACCTCCCGGACGCCCCTCCTGAGCTCCCTGGTAGGAACCCCCACCCCTCAGGCTCTGCCCCCGAGTGAGCCCCTCCGAGGGAACCCGCCCGGAGACCAGCCGGCCCGCTGGTCCCAAGGGGCGAAGCCAGGCTCAGACTGAGCTGATTAAGTCTGTTAACTTTTTTTATTGCGTTATGACCGCCGGATCACTCTTTAGGTTCACTAAGGAACAGAATTAGGTCAGAACTAAGCCTAGTTTTTCTAAAGCCACCAGGCCAGGGCGAAATGAAGCACCTTTAAATATCTCCGCTTCTCCAGACACCTCGAGTATTCGGTGAGGGGGGTGAGACCCTGCGCGCGTCCATAAACCCCTCGATTCTTTTTCAGAGCGCGACCAGCAACACCTCCACCGTGGCCTGCATCGACAGAAACGGGGTAGGTGTGGCGCCCCAGTAACCAAACTCAACAACGCCCCTGGGCATTGCACTGGTAAACCCAGGAAATCCAGATCAACCCAGAGAATCCAGTCTTCCTCGCTGCGTGGTTTCTCCCCTGCATGGTTCCCTGACCCCCGCCTCGAGGCCAGCAATGAGCTGTCACCTCCCTGCAGCGCTATTCAGATGTGGCTCCCAGGCCAGCAGCTGCAGCGTCACCTGGCAGTTGGTGACAAATGCAAACCGTGGGGCCCCTGCCCCGGACCTAGGAAGCAGGATTTCTGGGGGTGACACCCGGCCCTCCAAGGGTGCTGAGGCTTGGTGGCATGTAGCCTCAATCTAGACGCCCACTTACTAACGGGGAAGTCGCTAGCCACATGTGGCTACTCACATTTAAATGTTCATTCATTAAAATCCAATGCAATTTAAAATTCAATTGCTCGCACGTGTAGCTAGTGGCTGCTGTATTGAAGAGCACAGATTAGAGGCCATTTCTGCCCTTGCAGACGGCCTGCTGGACACAGTGACGGGCCCTGCACCACCCCGTGGTCCGTGGGCCAGCAGCGTGGGAATCCTGGGAGCATGTTAGCAATGCAGACTCTCAGGCCTGCGCAGACTTGCCAAGTGGGGCCCTGCCCTGTCACAGATCCCAGGTGATTTCATTCACCGGCTCACGTGACCTTGTCTCCTTCCCCCAGCAGAGCTGTCCCCTCAAGGAAGACAGCTTCCTGCAGCGGTACAGCTCAGACCCCACCGGCGCCCTGACTGAGGACAACATCAACGACACTTTCCTCCCAGTGCCAGGTGAGCGGCTTGTCCTGGACACAGCCATGCCCGGCAGCCTCCCTCACATCCACAGCGGCAGCCTCAGCCCCGGCGCCCTGGCTGGTGGCTTCCCTCAGACTGATCCAGAGGCCGAGACGGGCATATTTGCAGACAGTGGAGTGAGAGGCAGATACACACGACCCGGACNTTCAGACTGATCCAGAGGCCGAGACAGGGGCATATTTGCAGACAGTGGAGTGAGAGGCAGATACACACGACCCGGACAGCGTGGCACCCAGGCCTCCGCCAAGCTCGGGGCTGGGCAGGGGTGTGTCAAAGCTTGGTGTTCAGAATCAGCTTGCAGAGGTTCTAGTCTTCGGAGCAAACAGCTTAGACATACGTGGGAGAGTGTGGGAGTGTGTGTGAGCACTGTGGGAGTGTGTGTGTATGAGTGAGCGTGTGTGTGCACGTGTGTGCATCTGTGTGTGACGGATTCAATCCCGTTTTCTCTCCTGGCTCCATTCTTGGCCTGTGACCCATGTATCTTTCCAACCTGAGCTTTATCCCCGGATACCCCCCACCTGCCTGCACACACACCCCTCGAGGCAGGCTGTGCCCTGAGAACTTTAAGGGGTGAGAGATAAGCGTGCCCATTGCTTTGAGGAGTGCAGGAAAGGACACAGCCGGTTTTGCAGGCCCCGCCCTCTGTCACCAGCTGTCTCACTGGAGAAAGTTCACGGGGTTCAGATAAAGCATGGAGTTGGGCCTGGACGGTGCTTTCTGATTGCCTCCTATCTGTTTCCAATTTCAGAATACATAAACCAGGCGGTCCCCAAAAGGCCCGCAGGCTCTGTGCAGAACCCCGTCTATCACAACCAGCCTCTGAACCCAGCTCCCAGCCGAGACCCCCACTACCAGAACCCCCTCAGCAACGCCGTGGACAACCCAGAGTATCTCAACACCGTCCATCCCCCCGGCGTCAACGGAGTCCCTGACGGCCCTGCCCTCTGGGTGCAGAAAGGCAGCCACCAAATCAGCCTGGACAACCCTGACTACCAGCAGGACTTCTTTCCCAGGGAGGCCAAGTCCAATGGCATCTTCACAGGCCCGACGGCCGAAAATGCAGACTACCTGAGGGTAGGCCCCCCCAGCAGTGAATTTATTGGGGCATGACCACGGCGGCACCAACAACCACAAGTCCAGACTCTTCAGCCCCCAGGACCAGCCACGGCAGCCGCTCGGTCCTGACGGCCGTGCCCACACCACTCCTGGCCCCCTGGGCTGGGTTGGCCGCATCCGCTCTCATCACCTGATCGGCCCACCTTCCAGCCAGGAAGTGCCCCTGCTCGGGTGTCCTTTGGGACACTGCAGGGACGTCCCTCTGTCTTCACACTGTGAGGCTCCACAAAAGATATCCAGCCAAGAATGTTGTCCATCTGGGCAGACGCTCACCTTGCAATCAGGTATATTGGGGGGGAAAAAGCTACATATATAAAAGGAGCTGTATTGCTTGGGGGCCTTTGGGACTTTTAATGGTCATTACTGACTTGCTCTGAGTGGGCTTTTCCCATGAGGAAGAAACTTGTTCGTACGTAGCACTCGCTGCACTGCGTCACGGGGGCCCAGCTGGGACCAGGAGCAAGGGCCGCTCTTCAGCTGACACCTGATCCAGTGTCTCTGCTTCGAGGCCCTTCCACTGCCAGACAGTTACAGACGAGAAGCCCTCCCTGAGCTACGCAGGCCTGACGGTGATGGCAGCCGGTCCTGGCAGGGTCAAGGGGATAAGCCACTTTGAACCCCTTCCCGGGCAAGGAGGAAACAGCTAGAAGTCCTCCTCGGATGACTTTTATATCAGTGTCTCCTGGTACTTGCCCTCCACGGGTTCACCAGCGTCTTCTCATGAGCACTAAGACTTCCTCGTGTCTTTTCCATTCCACTGTTTTTGAAACCCAGTGTGATTTCCCCCGTCAGCGAGGGGAGACGGTACAGCCAACAGCCCAGGTGGGCTCCCGGCTGAATCAGTAGCCTTCAGACCGGAAGCCTTTCATTAAGATGCAGAAACCCCACCAAGAACATATCCCCCCAGATCTGAGTCTCAAAGGAAACCCATTCGGTCCTTTGGGAGCCTGGGGGTGCACACACATCCAGAGACCAAAAGTGAAGCCATGCTTAAAACTCACTGAGTCTCCCTTCCCCTCTCCCCCCCCCCCCCCAAAAAAAATTAGTTTAGGCTACTCATAGAAGATAATTTCCTTTTTCTTTCACTTTAAACGTTTTTTACTCGAAGGGTACTTTGTCCCTCCCTGGTAGGCCATCCCTGAAGCGCCCCCCCTTTGCCCCATTAAATAAAGGATCCAGGCTCCGAGGCCACCACTCAGCCCTCCCATGTGGGCACACGTTACAGGCGGGCATGGTGCTGGCGTCCTGTATAGTGCGGAATTCAGGTGGTAGGTAGGAAATTCCCCACCAGAATTTAAAATGAGACCATCCAACAGCATTTCTAGGAGTCTGCCTTTTTAAGCCATTGTCCTTACACCACTTTTATCATTCACCTCAGAGCGTAATTTAGTTGGATGTTCATGCAGCGCTGGGAAACAGTGTCTCACATTCCACTGTCACTTACTTGCCAAGGCACAGGGGACCGCTGAGGGAGGGCAACTGTGTAGCCAGTTACATTGTAGCAGTTAAATCCTAGTATTTTTGTAGTTTGAAATAATTTACTCTAACAGAATAAAACAGCAGGACAGGTTCAAGCTGTTGCTTCTCCTTTGGATTTAATTTTTCCTGCATGAAACCTAGTTGCCAAACTCTCTTAGGATTGCTTTTCTCACCACCACACCTGTTCCCGGAGGCGCAGGGGCTTGTAGACGCCGCGGAGCCTGAGAGCGGAGCTGCGGGGCCGCGGGGGCCGGGCAGGAGCGGGGCTCCCGGGAGACGGTGTTGCCATCTGATGGCCCTGACTGGCCAGATCTCAAAGCTCATACCGTCCTGCGACCCTGCAGAGGGCCTGCCTGCGGCTCCTTCCGCAGCCCAGCCTCAGCCCCTCCTGGGCAGCAGGGTTCGGGGGGAGGAAGAGGCGGGAGCTGACATTTTCAGCGGGCCGCCGTCCTCGTGCCCGTCTTCTCAGATCATCTCTAAGGCGGCCCCGTCATTGAACTCTATGAAAATACTTCTGTCACCTCGTGAAGTAAAACAGATGGCTCTTCCAGGCGTAGGTCCTTGTTGGAAGTTCTTTATTCTGAGCTGTAGCCCCCCCTCCTCGACTGCAGATGTAAAGGAACCGTGAGCTGGACAAGCTGGGCTGCCGCCCTGGGCATCCCCGAGGCCCCCACCGAGAAGGTTCTGATTGAATTCATCTCAGGTGCAGCCTGGGCCCAGGGACTTTTCCCAGCTCCCCCGGGTTATTCTGGGGAGCCCTGAAGCTTGGGGGACCGCTGGGAGGAAGGAAAGCTCTGTGGGGGAGACCTGACCCTCAGTCGACCGACGGTGTCCCGCTCAGAACTCCCTGGCCACAGGCCTCGGGGCGCACACGCGTTTACAAGGCTGTCGGAGGATGGTGGCTGGAGGTTCTCACCTCACTGCCCACCAGGTGAGCTTAAAGGAAGACCAACTTAATCAACGCCTCAGGGGCTCCCCATGTGATTGGAACGGAACCAGCGTTGAAACCCTCATCTCTGAGGTCACCCTCGGTGGTCCAAGCCCAGGGGTCTGTGCCACGCCCCCAAGTCAGGACGGAAGAAAACACCCTGGGAGCAGTAAGGGTTCCCGGAGGCAACCAGCGGGATAGCTTGCAGTCCCTAATACGCTGGGATGTGGCCACTCGCGGCCTTTCCGAAAGCCCCAGACTCCTGGTCACCAGCAGCCAACTGGCCCCAGAAGCGGCAGATGCCCGTCTGAGCCCCGCTAAGCCCCGGGACCCTTTGCATTTTCTAAGAAGTGAGACAGATAGAAACGGGGTGTCCTCCAGCAGTGAACGAGCCGCTGGCTCCGAGGGGTGGCTGCGGGAAGGGCCCGTAACACCCACTTCACATTCCTTTCTTCTGAGAAGCCCGCAGTCACCACCACGGTCACCACCACGGTCACCACCCACGCCACGCTCTGGTCACTTCCTCCCGGGGCTGTGAAACCGAACCCATCAGAACGCCGGCCTCCTCTACACCTGCCCTGGGAGGGAAATAGGCTTTGTACCGTCAGACACATTCAGACGAGACTTTTTCATGTAAATCTATTTTTGTAACTTTTTTGAGGAATATTGTCCTCTTATGTAGCACTGAACTGCAGAAGGTATGCTTTTAGGAGAACTCTCTTTTCTACAAAAGGAGATGGTTTACTCTGGAAAGGTTGCAGGAGCGTTGTCGTTGGACACTGAGGTTAAAGGGGTTTTATTGAAACAAGAGAAAAGCCTCCCCCTCTCACCAAGGGGCACAGTGTCAGCGTCGCTGCAGAGCGAGCTCAGGTCGGCACCGGACGAGGAGAGTCCTATGTTTATATTTGTACAAGGTGGAGGGCGCCCGTAGCTCAGTCTGGGTCCGAAGCCGGTCCCTGAGTCTGTTTGGGCTGTTACTGGAAAGGAATTACTGTTTGTTACCACTAATAGACAGGTCCCACTGTACACCACCCTCCACTCGCCTGCCAGTGGACCCTGGAAATGTAAAATAAGCAATAACAGAGCATTTTCTTGCAAATTATTTTTATGGGAATTCTTACAATTGATATGCATTGGATGCAGATCATTTTATTTGTCTATTACAATTGATATGCATTTGCCAGTACAGGCTGGAACGCCTGCAGAGCCCTGTGATGTCTGGCATGTTTTGTTCCTCTCCCTATCGATGAAGCCGCCGACCCTGGCCACTCGAGGGGGGATCTCAGCCTTGCTGCGCAGTAAGGTCACCGGGGCAGCTTGGGAAAGATCTTGAGACCAGCTGCATCTCAGGCCAATTCCATGCAACTCTCTAGGGGTGAATCCCAGAACCTGTGCTTTTTAAAGCTCCCAAAATCATTCTGATGTCCAGCCAAGGTTGAGAAGTGACACCTCGGGACCAGCCACAGGTGTGTGGATTTGCAGGCAAATCCTTGCTGACGTAGGAACCTCGGGACTGGGCACTAAGCCGAGAAGACCTCAGCATCCATCGCGGAGCCCCAGGGCTCTGGGTGGGCAGGGGCTCCAGCCAGTCGCCCGCGCTCTGGAGGGGAGAGGGTCTAACCAGCGCTGAAAAGGAGGGAGATGCAGAGCAGATGCTGTTTCTCCGCACCCCGTTAACGACGGGCTGGCCTAGCGTAGAGACAGGGAGCCTTCCTGCGCCCGTGCAGCCCGCTTGCCCACCGCCCCCTGGCAGCCAAGGCACCTTCGTTTCCCAGGAGAAAGAAAACGCTGACCATCAATTACATTCCGAAGGCAGACATCAGGAGCACTGCCTGAGCAGTTGGACGGCTTTCATAAAAACAAGGGGACTCATGCTTTAAGAAACATTTTTCATACCTTTTTCATAAGTTATATCTGGAATGAAAAGCAATCCGTGTGGTTTTCTCTTCCTGCATGGCAGGCACAGCCCCTAAGGCTGTCCTTTCAGAAGTCCTAAGAGTCCCCACCCGTCACCTGGCAGATACATTGTTAGATACATTTACTTGTTTCTTTTATAAAAAGAATACCTTTTGACCTAATTTGGCTACAAAATAATCTTGCTGTGTAACAGAATGTCTTAGAAAGATGAGATCCTGTGGGCTCGAGGTCACAATGTAACTGAGTAGCTACACAGACAGCAATAACTTCCTTTTTGAAACAAGCAATAGCTTTAGACACGGTACGTTTTTAACATTGTCAAGTGTTTTTGTGATGAGAGCAGTATTTGTACAAATGAAAAAAGCAAGATTTTCTTTATATGGTTTACATGTGGGATCAGAACCTGTTGATTGTAGGCTGAGTATTAAACAATTAGATGTATATTATTCATTGTTCTTTTTTCGTACCTCCTAAGAATAATGTTGTATCCTTGGTTAACGATGTCGATATTACTTATTGATCATATCTGACCTGTAGATGTTCTTTCCTGATAACTTTTTAAAATTCATTAATAAACTTTATTTTTAGAGCACTCTCAGGTTCAAACACTGCAAAATTGGGCAGAAAGTAGGAAGTTCCCAAACTCACTCTGCCCTACCCCCACCTTCCCGCACTATCCCGATCCACACCCCAGAGGCCTGGTCACAGGTGAATGTCTGGAGGTTCCCCTGGTGAGTGGGGTTAGGACACAGGCCCCTTTCAGCTCCATGGGTTCCTCCAGGTGCCGGGCTGTGTGCGGTCCACTTTCTTTCCTTTTTAAAAATACGTCTTTATTGATTTCCGAGAGAGGAAGGGAGAGGGAGAGAGAGAGAGAAACATCAATGATGAGAGAGTCATTGCTCGGCTGCCTCCTGCACGCCCCACATGAGATGGAGCCCACAACCCGGGCCTGTGCCCTGACCGGGAATCGATCCTCGATCTCCTGGATCCCAGGTTGACGCTGGGCCGCTGAGCCGCGTGGGCCGGGCGGTGCGCGGTGCATTCTGACGAGAGCTCTTGATTCTGCGGCTGTTTCACACCTGCTCACACCTGCTCCCAAAAGCTCTCCCTCCCAGGTTTTCTTCATAGTTTCTCCTGCCCCACAGAGCCCGGGGG